CACAACATCAAATCCACATGACCTCCCATGCGTTTTGATATATTAGTTGATCAGCAGGTGAGCTAAAGAAGTTGGAAGTGCTAGACTTGATCTTACCATAAAATCCTGCTTTTATTAAAGATTTCATAACCCTCGAACCAACACCAGCACCAGCTTCTCCTTTGAGTAACTTTGAATGATTGTCATCTTCCTTGCCGGCTTTGAACAAGTAAGAAGTCATGCTGCGAGCATTTGCTTGTTCTCGCCTCGCAGCTAATTGAATTGGCAAAAGTCCATCTTTGTTTTCACGATTCAGCAATTCGGGATGTTTTCTCACAAGTATTCTGGCATCTTCAACAAGTCCAACATTTGCTGCTAAGTGAAGCGCTGTATTCCCAAAGTTGTCAGTCTCAGCCAGTAAATCTGGTGCAATCTTATCCACCAGCTTGTTGACTAACCCCTTTTTAGCTTCATTGACGGCCGAGAGGAGCAATGTTTCTCCATTTTCATTTAGCTTGGCTGTAAAAACTTCATTTTGATGGTCGTGGATTATTCGTTCGATATTCTCCCATTTGCCTTTTTTTAATGCTTGGTACAGATCTTGTTTCCAAGTATCATCCACAACTGCTTTCATATCAAGAATTGAAGGAAAATGTGTGCTTATACATATCTTTTTTATTCTCTTCTCAAAAGTCAATCAATAAAATATTACAATCAAATACCAATAATACTGTACTTGGGGCCATGTAATAAATAAAATAAAAACTAAAAAAGGCGTTACTCACTTCCGATGATTACATCCTGCTGTTGCTGTGACTGCTGCGCCATCTTCTTCACAATGGATCTCCTAACTCTGTATTCACAGTGTATTTGCTATTATCTCTAAAACTAACCCTCCTTTTATACATAGACTACACTTGCATTTGACTCTACTATATTATTGGTGGCAACTTTAGAGCCTGTTTGATACACATTAAAATGAGATAATGTATTTTTTTGAAATGATGTGATGGAGAATATGTGGTTGAAAATGAAGGAAAAGTTATTGATTTGATGAAATATTATTTTATTGAAAAATGTGTGGTTGAAAATGAGTAGAAAAATGAGAATGAAAAAAATAATGTGGGTCAGAGGCTTGTAGGTGTAAACTTAAAGTTACCATTAATTTGGAGCGGGCTTCTTTTTCCTTTTTTCCTTTATACTTTATTCTTAATTCTTATAAATGATGATTATGATTTTTAAAAAAAACTATTTTTTTAGCAGTCAAATCTACGTTTTATATCAACTAAGACTGAAGCTAGCATATAATTTGAATAGTATTTTTTAAAAAATGTGGAATTTAAAAAATAGGGAAAAAAATTTGATTTACGTATAAAATATTTTATTATGTGAATATATAATTGAAAATGAGTATGAGGCATAAATTAAATAGGAAAAAGTAAAAAGGGAAAAAACAAGTACCCCATACTTCACTATC